CCCCATCCACTCTTCCCCCTCTCCGGTCCGGCACCTGGGCTCCGAGTGTGTATATACTGACCCTCCCCATCCACTCTTCCCCCTCTCCGGTCTAGCACCTGGGCTCCGAGTCTGTAATATACTGACCCTCCCCATCCACTCTTCCCTCTCTCCGGTCCAGCACCTGGGCTGCAAGTCTATATGTACTGCACACTTATTTTGAAGTAATTATTAAGCATTTCTGTCCATAAGGGGAGTTGACACTGTGACTGCTGAGTCTGTCAGCTCTTTTCCAGCCACACATTTCTTTGCAGGTGTGCATATTCTCATGTGCAGGCCACTAAACCAGGACTGTTTTCATGCATCATTCCTGATCTCCACTTGGTCATTTTCCATTTCACTTGGCCCTCAACCCTGCGTCCTTGCCCAGCTCTCACAATGGGGCTGACCCTAAGATCAGCCCATAGGGATGCTGGGACCAGAACTGAGGAGGCCAATGGCCAGGGCTACCCATCCAGTGTCCAGCAGGGAGGCTGCATCCGTGTCCCACTGGAGCCTCAGGCCCAGCAGAAGGCAGCAGATTTTTAAAAAGTCTTCCCTGTCTCCTTTCATAGAAGGAAGCTTCCCAACTCCCCATCACACAGTGAGGGCACGTGTGGGTCCTACGTGCTCCAGCACCCAGCTTGGTGGCCCACAGCCAGCTCTGCTCAGGCTCTGGATTCCTCAGAGGCACAGAGCCTGTTGGTTTACAGGAGAGGTCAGACACACCTCTTTGGTTTTCCTTTCTCATAGTTTCCCTAGTTCTATGCCTATGTGTTCAGTGCAGGATGAACGTCAGAGTGAAGTTACTGTGACATTTCCACCTTGTATTTTACTGACTTTTATAAAATGAGAGCCAAACGGTGGCAACTTACCCAGTGAGTAAGCAGCCTGTCAGAAACAGCAGCCCTGCCAAAGCCTCCCTGCACAGGGACACGGTCCTGCCTAGGCTTCCAAGCAAGATGGCCTCCAATAAACAAAGTCCCAGTTCAGAGGTGCCAATATTTCATACACACGATGACACTAAGGCCAAAGCCTACGAGTGGGAACACCTTCAATCACCAAAGCACCTTGATTTCAGGAGGATGAGTCTGTCAATTCCCAGCGCTTGCTAGAGCTAAAGCCTACGAGTGGGGGAACACCTTCAATCACCAAAGCACCTTGATTTCAGGAGGAAGAGTCTGTCAATTCCCAGTGCTTGCTAGAGCTAAAGCCTACGAGTGGGAACACCTTCAATCACCAAAGCACCTTGATTTCAGGAAGAAAAGTCTGTCAATTCCCAGTGCTTGCTAGAGCTAAAGCCTACGAGTGGGAACACCTTCAATCACCAAAGCACCTTGATTTCAGGAGGAAGAGTCTGTCAATTCCCAGTGCTTGCTAGAGCTAAAGCCTACGAGTGGGAACACCTTCAATCACCAAAGCACCTTGATTTCAGGAGGATGAGTCTGTCAATTCCCAGTGCTTGCTAGAGCTAAAGCCTACGAGTGG